CCCCAAAACCCCAAAACCCCAAAACCCCAAAACCCCAAAACCCCAAAACCCCAAAAATCATATTTCTGATTGAAACCAAATTAATCTGATCCTCCATTAGCGATGTTTTTGAATAGCTCAACTATTTCAGCATACTCCCCTGGGTTCTGAGGGTCAATCCCCATCTGAGTTAGAAGAATATCTCCTTGGCCATTTTCGATAGCATTTGTAAGGCTACTCAGAACATGCCTGAGGGGAGAAGAATGGATATTATCTCTCAAATTTTCCTGATCCTTTTGGCCCTCAGGACAATGCTCATGAAGTCTCTCACAAGCTTTTTCATCTTCTAATATCTTGTTCTTAGCTTCAGAAGAAATAACTGAAGTCAAGTTTGGTCCAGATCTTTGAGCTCCCATGTTGCCTCCTAACTGACCCATGTTTTCTGGGTTTGACAAAAAGTTTGATAACATTTGTGAGTAATCTGGAGCACCGCCAGGAGCACCGCCAGGAGCTCCTCCTAGAGCTCCTCCTAGAGCTCCTCCTAGAGCTCCTCCTAAAGCTCCAGGATTTGGAGGTTGAGATGATGGGGCAGCTCTAGTCTGTGGTCCACTGCTAGTTGCCTGATTTCCAGGAGTACTCTGAGCATCATCTATATCACAAAATTAGCCATTAATTCTTATAAAAGGTCAAAGAAAGACTATCACTCTTTAAAGCTCAAAACTTTGTTTTTCACTAAAATCCTCTTATTCCCAAATTTTATGGCCCAAAGGCTAAAAATATTGAACTCACCTCCTTCGATGCCATTAATCAAGTTGTTCAATTTTGTGCATCTTTCTTCATCCTTGTCTTTATCCTTCTCTTGCATCCAGAAGAAATGCCTCTGGTTATTCTCAATGAAATGGAGGCAGTAGACTCTATCTTTACTCTGCTTCACTTTTTTAAAGGTAGCAGTACCTGGGAAGATCATATTGTTCTGGAATGGATTGTTTGACCCATCCTCAATCCACTGGAACTGCTTGACCTGGGAAGGATCCTTAATTACCTTTATAGTCCCTCTTCTCTTATCAGGAGTGACTTTTTTCCCATCAAAGTTCATCCTCCCTGCTTTGAATTCTATCAATGCTTGGTTGGCTTGGAATCCACCTGCGCTTGCACCGAAGAGTTTGGCTAGTTGAGCTGCGTCCATGTCTATTAAATATTTATTATTTGGTTGAATTTCTACAATTTTATAACAAATTGGGGTTTTGGGGTTTTGGGGTTTTGGGG